AAATCCAACGATAAAACCCAATTATATGTGAATTAAATAAAAATCTTACGCCTCTTCCAGCTCTACAAGATTAGCAAATGATGAAGGTATTCCCCCACCACTAAGTCCAGAAGTTCCTAGATATCTGCAATATTACATGTAAGAAATTAGCTCTGTTAATGAAGTGGATATCCACTTTTTTATTAAAAAAAATATGTAATCTTATCCGTATTATCCATGATTTTATCTAAAAATATGTAACAAAAAAATCAAAATATTATGTATTTTAGACTAAAATATCGGATATTTGTATCAAAATATATCTAAATACCAAATTTCCGTATCTAAATACCAGATATCTAGGTGGTATCCGTTATCCATTATTAAATAGCGCATTATCCATATCCAAAATATCCATCATTTTACTATATGTATCCATTTTTCTGGATATCTGTTTTTTTTATCTAGATACGAATACAAATATTTTCAGAAACAGTTTTTTAGTCAACAAATACGGATAAGAAATGTTTACAAACACTAGAATATTTTGGAAGATTTGTATAAATACTTTTAAAACATATTTGATCAAATCCCTAGTTTTTGTTGACACAATGTCTTTATAAGATAAAAGTAGGTAGGTACATGCGTTTTATCAAATATTTATTAAATTTATATTATTAAAACAAGGGATGGAAAAATCCGGTTAAAAAAATCCCAAAATAATGTATTTACCCATTAAAATAGTCTTAAGACTGATGACAATGTCCTGTAATTTTAACAAAGACATGTCATATTGTACAAATTATCTTTTCAATTAGTTGTTGGGATAACTAAGAACATTAAGAGTATATATGATATCTATATTGTTACTTATATTTATGTATACAAACAATTCTAAATTTTATATATCCATACATAATAAAAAAAACTGTATGTTAAGTATATATTAACTTAAGTATCCAAATTTAAAAGTTTGTATCCAGTTTAGTTAAGTTTTTTGGTTGGATTATTTCATTATACCGAACAATAAAAGATTAAATAATTATCGATATATATATATATATATATATATATTTAATAATATTACGAGAAGCGATATATGGCGGAAAGAGTTCGAATCAATGTTAATATAAAATGAAAATATCATTGATCCGACGCTAGAACACGAGCTAAATTTTGCCATTTTTATTTTGTCACGACCAATATTAGAATATTTAACATGTTGAAAATTCTACAATTTTTCTTAACAATATGTCACAACATTAAAGATTTAATAGTTCACTAAAAACAAATAAGACATTTTAAGAAAACAATTAGTTCTAAAAATAATATTTTACCTTGATAAAAACTGTAATACTATAAAAGTTTAACTTGAAAAAATAAAACTATTTTAAAACTTTTCTAATTTATTCTACATGTAGTAGTTTTAATTCTATTATTAAATTTTATTTATATCTATATTACTACTATTGGAGATACTCTAACATCATTAGATATAAAAACAAAATAAATTGTTGGTATACCAGAGTTAAATAGTAATTATAATTTAACAGCATAGAAATAGAAATAGTGTATATATTCTCACATTTTCAGTAGTTTTGCACAATTCCCAATCTCAGCTGGTATAGAACCGGAAAAGTTGTTTACGCCAATACTACTGCATGCAAAAAAAAGAAAAGAAATACAAGTTAGGTGTAATAATAAGGAAACATCAAAATCCTAAAAATGTATGAATAGCTTTTAAAGAATAATTGAAGAAGATTAGTTATAATTACAAGGATCTCAATTCTGTAAGCAAACCAATTTCCTTGGGAAGAGGGCCAGACAAGGCATTGATCCCAAAAGTCCTACAATCAAAGTAGGTAGGTGAGAAACAGTGACAGTGAGAGTGACGAGAAAGAAGAAAAATAAATAATGAAGAAGGTTTCATTCAATCAACATTCATGAGAGCCTTTATAATTAATATTACATCCATTCTAGTTGAGTCAAGTTTCCAATTGCAGGAGAAAGGGAGCCCGTAAGATAATTTTGAGCCAGGTTCCTAAAAGAAATTAATTAAGATATGCATTATTAATTATGTCATTGTTTTGATTATATGATGATAAAGATAAAGAAAAGCAAAAAGGTAAAAGTGTTTATATATACAGATTTTTGATGTATATCAAAGTCCAGAGCTGTGGAGGTATAGGTCCTACAACATTCCTCATAAAAACCTTGCTGTGAAAGTGATGAAACAACAACATCAATTTAGTGGTATATATACATATATATATATATATGCAAAAAGATTATAAAAAGAAAAAGAAGATAGAATAATTTGCATATAGTACAGAGCTGTGATGCGGCAGATTGTGGAGTTTTCGAAATTGCAGTCGCATTTGATAAAAGGGTTGTAGTTTTCGTCGTCGATGGCGATTCCATCCTTGATAGCGGCACCGGAGCAAAGTTCGCCGCTGATGTTCCATACGTTCTTCGGAGCACCGATCTTCCAAGTCGCGAAGATGGAGTTCAAAACTCGCGCTGTTGCAGTTTATATATATATATATCCCACAAACAACTTCTTTATTTTATCTTAGGAACCAAAACAAAGTTGTAATTATTTATTTCAAATTACGTAGCATGCATAAGCATATCTATATATGTCACCTTCGTCCGGATGTGTAGTAGGGGTGGCCACGGTTCGGTTTCGAGCTCGAACCAGGTGAACCGAACCGGAGATACACAAGAGGAACCAGACGGTGAGTAGCATACACGTTGGCATCGTCGTCCACGGAGGTTTTCCACTCTCTCTATTTTTTGTGGTTCAAAACAACGTACGGTATCGTCTCCTTTTATATAAGTTGTCTTAAATTATTATCATTTATTTTTATTCATTGACTTATTAATTTGTATAATATCAGTTTTCTTGACTTATTGACTTATATGCACAGGGGCTGACCCACTAAGTGGCACTTCATTACCAAGATAGAGACTAATCATTGTGAATATCCAAAAATGTTTTTGTAGGGAAGTAAAGACTTTTCACAGAGTAAAGACTTTTCACAACTTATTATATAATGCGTTCTCTCTTCGGAAGTTCTTCTCGTTAACCCCATGTTTATAATCTTTTCATAATAAAAATTTAAAAAGGTAGTCAGTGGTTGTAGATTTCAATTTCTACTTACGAGTTACTTCTAAAGTTGGCGGGAGTGAGAATCTTTTTTGTTTGTTTAAAGTTAACAAACAAACAAGAAAAGCGTTTTATGATTTAGTGTGTATATTTTGTATTTGGGGCTTTATTGTGAAATAGTTACCTATAATGTACGCTATTCTTTACACAAAGGCAGTTTCCTCTTAATGGTTTTTGGTATTATTATCACGTGCTCCGTTTTGTGTTAAATGGTGATTTAATTAAGTTGATTTCGAATTTAAGACAAGTTACATTATAAATAAATTTCCTAACGTAAGATTTATAAATAATCCTAGCTATTAGCTTTGGATTCTCCCACATGCAGGTATTTCTAGGCAAAGATAGATTCATGCTCAAACGAGCCTGTTTAATTAGCTAAATCATTGGAATATAGAAAACATGCATGGTACTAAAATGAAATTAACTTATTAAAACTTTAGTTTGTGCATATATATGCAAGTAAAAGTAAATAAAGAAAGATCTTTAGATTGGCACCAAGAACATGACTTTAAATTTGATTACAAAGGGCTAATAGGAAATGGCAGCTCTCTAAGTTATATGTCTTACATTGATGTTTTTTTTTTAATTATATGAATCTCTAATTTTTTTTTTTGAAAATTGCTTTGCATTAAATTAAATGCGGCAAAAGTACTCTTACAAACCAACTTTGGTGGTTGGAATTTAAGCCCAATAGACATAATTTTAAAAAACTATAAATCAACTTTGGTGGTTGGAATTTAATTCCACTTGTTTTCTACCAAAAACATGTTTTGCTATGTTGCTAAGTATTAAGGATAACAATATTCCACTTGGCTCGCTCTTCTCCAGCCTGCTTAATCTCCCCTTGATTTGCCCTGTTGGTGTTGAATTGTTGTTTTGGCTACATGATTTGCAGGTTCCAGGAATCTTCATGCGTGTGGTTCCTCTTTTTTTCTACTTGTAGGCTCTCTGTTTATCTGGGCTTTAGTTTGTATTTTCCTCTTTAAGCATGTTTGTCATGTTGGGTTGTTGGTAACCTTGTAAGTATTTGGGCATGCATGTCTTTTTTGGACTGTTAAAAGCCTTGTAATTAAGGGGGCGTGCGCACCGTATTGGGCCTTGGGCCGTGTCAGTTTTTTGGGCTTTCGTGCCATGAGTCTTTATAGCCTTGTAAGGTGTATGCTTCCTTTGGAAAATTTAAAATTAAAAAAAAAAAAAATACTCCCACATTGGAAGTTGAGTAGGATCTTAAGTGGTAAATATAAGATATGAGTCTCTTTGCTTACAGCCAATTCGTTTTGAGTTGGAAGCCCACAATCTAATATGATATCAGAGCCCGGTCCGCATATACTCAACCCAATCCACAATCGGTCTGGGCCATCGATTCATGCCCGAACATACCGAGATTTATGGCAAAAAGAACCATCATCTCGATGAGTCGTATTAGGGATAACAATATCTTACATTGAAAGTTGAGTACGATTTAAGTGGTAGATATAGGAAATAGGTCGCTCTATTCATTGCCAATTAATTTTAAGTTGGAAACTCACAATTTAATATAGTATACTTTACATAAATTACTTAAGATCATACTGAACTTTCAATGTTGTATATTGTTATCCTAATACTAAGTAGTGAACGGCTTGTGCTGTCACGATTAGACCGACCATTTGGTATGGACAATGTTGTCGAAGTGTGATGGTAACTGATTCTTTTAAAGAACTTAATAATAAGTTGAGCATTAAAAGATCTTAAAAGCCCAGAATTATATGGGCTTTAATGAATGGGCCTTATTCAGGCTAAACTATATTTGATACAAGTTTCGCTTATAGCCGACTCCTCAACTAATCTCGCAAACTCGATTTTTCCTAAATACATCAATCCCATCCGATTGAAATCTTTTATCATTCTCCATCAATTCAATTCAGGTCTCTGCTCTCCTGATCTCAATTGATCAGTTGGCTTACCTAAAACCTTTGATTTCAATTAATCCAAGAAGCACCGATGGGTAAGAACGATTTTCTAACACCGAAGGCGATTGCGAATCGAATCAAAGCCAAAGGTCTTCAAAAGCTTCGATGGTATTGTCAGATGTGTCAGAAACAATGCCGAGACGAGAACGGATTCAAGTGTCATTGTATGAGCGAATCTCACCAGAGGCAGATGCAAGTCTTCGGGCAGAATCCCACTCGTGTTGTCGATGGCTACTCTGAAGAATTCGAGCAGACGTTTCTCGATCTGATGCGGCGGAGCCACCGTTTCTCTCGTATCGCCGCCACTGTTGTCTACAATGAGTATATTAACGATAGGCATCATGTTCATATGAATTCGACTGAGTGGGCGACGTTGACTGAGTTCATCAAGCATCTCGGGAAGACGGGTAAGTGTAAGGTTGAGGAGACTCCTAAAGGTTGGTTCATTACTTATATTGATAGAGATTCAGAGACTTTGTTTAAGGAGAGGTTAAAGAACAAGAGAGTTAAGAGTGATTTAGCTGAGGAGGAGAAACAAGAGAGGGAGATTCAGAAGCAGATTGAGAGAGCTGCTGAGAAATTGAATGCTGGTGGTGGTGAAGGTGAAAGCAGTGGTAAGGAAGTTGTTGAGGATAGTGATGAGAAGATGAAAGAGGAAGAGTTGAAGTTGAAGAGTGGGGTTAAGGTTGGGTTTGCTCTTGGTGGAGGGGTTAAACAGGTTGCTACGGGTAAAGAGAAAGTGGAGATCTCGAAAATCGTGTTTGAGGAGGAAGAGAATGAGAAGGCTAAGAATGGGGAGAAGAGGAAGAGAAGCGGGGACTCGGGAAGGAACGAGAAGGAGAAGAGATCAGCTTTGGATGAGTTGATGAAGGAGGAAGAGAAGAAGAAGGAGAGGATGAATCGTAAAGATTACTGGTTGTTCGAAGGGATTATTGTGAAGGTGATGAGTAAGGCTTTGGCAGAGAAAGGATACTATAAGCAAAAAGGTGTCGTGAAGAAAGTGATTGATAAGTATGTTGGGGAGATCGAAATGCTTGATTCTAAGCATATGCTGAGGGTTGATCAGGAGGAGCTAGAGACCGTGCTTCCACAGATAGGAGGGATAGTGAAGATAGTGAATGGGGCATATCGTGGTTCTAATGCAAGGTTGCTGGGTGTGGATACAGAGAAGTTCTGTGCTAAAGTGCAGATCGAGAAAGGTGTCTATGATGGAAGAGTCATCAAGTCCATTGAGTACGAGGACATATGCAAACTTGCTTAGTATATCTTTAGACTATATCGGTCATTGGTTTGCTTAATATAGTTTTATTATCTTTGAGAAATCTTGTGATGGTTTGATCAAAGCTGGAAAGGCATAGAGTAGACACATAGACTTCTTTGAAGTACCATGTTCTTCCATTTTTCCATTCTCTGTTCTCGCATCATCATCCTTAACAAGTTCTTCTGTAGTCGTATATGTTTGCATCCTCTTCAATGTTACAAGTAGCGAACGTGAAAACAGTTTAGTCAAATCATATAAAAGGTTCGAGTTTTACGATTTTACCTTCGGAATTATTTACCTATCCAACTAAAATATCGAAACTTAACTGGGAATATTAATTGGGCATGAGGCAATTTATCCACAAGTCTTTAAGAAGCAAAACCTTTACGAAGCACTGAAAAAGCAAAACTCATCTTTTTTTTCCGGTTGGTCTACAGTAGTACTAGTACAGTATATAACAAAGTTTGGTTGGTTCTTGACTTGTTTTGGAATTCCCAAATATATTAAACAGAGAGAAAAAGGGGAGAATATTAACAAACACTACGAGACTACAAGTCCACGACTTTGATCCATTTGTTCTTCGTCTATTTCCTTATTCTCAGGGAAATCGAGGGTTTATATAATTCATTCACAGTCTCTTTCTCTCTCTTTGGTTTCGTTGTCCCTCTCTAATCAAAAAAGTATCTACCTTTTTAAATTCATTCCCCTTCGATCTTACTTTTTCATCGCTGATTGTTCACAAAAGGAATCTCTACTTTTTCATTACCATTGCCTTGGTCTTTTGTTCGTTTCCTCAATCTCTGGTTCTTTGAATATCTCTTTACCAGGATTTTTACTTATTCCGTGGAAACCTTTTTTCTGGGGTTTGTCTTTCTTCTAATCTAGAAACCAAGCTAGTTCTCTGCGCTCAAAGTTTGTAGCTTTATCCCATCTGGACACACCAAATGGGATAAATCGGACAAAGAGATTTAAGCAATTCTCCATTGATGATCAACTGTTTTAAAGACTCAATACATGTTTTGATGAGTGTTTTGCTATGTAAGATTCAGTGCTCTTTATTCTGTTTCTGTAAGCCCTTTTTAATCACATATATGTCTGAAAGTTCGCTGAAGTTACTGTTGTTTCAGCTACTGGTGACGATGATGATGATCATGAAGAGGTTGGTGGTAATCATGTCGATGGTCATAGGAGTGATGAGGTTAGAGAAGAAGTAGATGCAAAGGAAAACGAAGGTCAAGTTGGTGGTGTCACTCTCACTCTGAAAAGTAGTCTTAGAAAGGCGGATTCAAATTCAACAGAAGCTGGGAAGAAGGAGAAGAAGAAGGTACAATGGGTGGATGTGATAGGCAAGGAACTTGCTGAGATTCGAGAATTCGAACCTAGGTTGGTTTTCTGTTTTTTGGAATTTGAGCTTCTCAGAGACAAAGCTTAGTTTAGTCAGATTTGTTTTGGTCTTTTTCACGAAGAATGAGTTCTTTTAGCATGCACTATTGAGTTATTTGATTGATTTTGGAATGATGTGATTCTTTCATTTATCTTGCAGTGATGAAGATGATATTGATTCTGATCGGGGAAAAACCTGTGTTTGTGTTATCCTGTGATCCGTCCACTTTAGTTTAACTGGGAGACCTAAGGCCAAAAGACAAAGTTGGTGGCTTCTTCTTCAGCATTAAAATCCATATACATGGAGGTACATATAGAATCTGCATTTGTGTTCTACAGCCAATCTAAGGCCAAAAGACAAAGTTTGCGTACTTGAAGCCATATGATGATTCCTGATTTAACACGGAAGCATTTTTTTTTCTTCTTCATTTTCTTCTGTAGAAGTGTTTTAAAGTATAGGTCTTTAACTTCATTTGTTTCTTCAATTATTTAATGAAGTTCTTTCTTACATAGATCGTGGAGCAAGTTATGAAATTTAACAATGACTACTTGTATCAATATCTAGTTCTGCGATTTAGTTCAAATGAATTTGACATCACCTATGTTGGATCAATGTCTGAGTTACAAATTACTTCAATCTAAGAGAAAACTGCGGTTTGTTGTCTTTCACGCAGCTCTTTTGTACATTTATAATAAGAATGTGTAAAGATGTCACTGGTGATGTGTTAGCATTTTCTGTATCTAAGTTTCCTACTCACAACTTTGCGAGCTTAAATCAGATGTTACTAGTAGTGCAGTTTATGTCTCAAGGCTTAGACTTTGGAGCATCTGTTTTGGTTTCTTTTAGGCCACCAAAAGGTTAGTGAATTCCATAAAGACTGTGATATATTTGTGGTCCATAAGTATGTTCCTGGAGGAAGTTTATAGGAAGTTTATAACAATCTGTTCTACAAACTCATAGGTGAATACATTTCTTGATTTGGATCTCATTATCTTTCATGAGTTGTTGTTTGCAGTTGCAGCGACTTGAGTCTCCTCTGTTTCTCCAGAAAGAGTGTTTCTTTAGTAGTCAATGACACTTTCTCTGAAACATTACCACTTCTGTCATGTTCTCTTGTCTTGTTGCAGAATTGGTCATTGTATAGAGTCAAAACTCAGTTGTTTGTAATAAACGAATCCAAGTGAAGGGAGATGCGAATTTATGGAGAAGAAAAAGGATCAAACCAATGGTACCATTACAAGATGACACGTGGCGAAACACCAAGACTGAAGCATAGCCACTAAAATCATGCAAACTTGTAATCCGAAACTGTGAAGCTTTTGAGAAGAATCAACCAACGTCACATAATCAGCTCTTCCAACTGACAAAATCCAAGTAATCATCCTCTGTCTCTCGTGGCTCTGGATTGTGTCTGAGCTCGAACCGATAGAAAAAGAATCTCACCATGTCTTTAGCTCCGAGCAGTTATCCATCTCTGTATTCTTCACCTTCACTGCCAAGAACCCAGCAAACTAAGCAAAACCCTAGTTTGATCACTCAATCCAGTTTCATTTCCGCAAAAAGTCTCTTCCTTTCAAGCAATTCGAATTCGTTATGCAATACCCATGTGGCCAAACGCCGGAATTTGGCTTTGAAGGCGTCGGAGGCAGAGTCGACGGCGAAAACTGAAGCAGAAGGACAAGGAGAAGAAGAAGAAGAGAAGTATGAAACATATGAAATTGAAGTGGAGCAGCCTTATGGTTTGAAATTCAGGAAAGGAAGAGATGGTGGGACTTACATTGACGCTATCTTGCCCGGTGGATCAGCTGACAAAACCGGAAAATTCACCGTCGGTGATAGAGTTATTGCCACAAGGTTTGTTTTTTATCCTTCTTGGTCCAATGGGATTAGCTTTGAGACTCAAGATTTTGACTTGAGCTTTGAAAATTGAGAGTGCAGTGCAGTGTTTGGGACAGAGATATGGCCTGCAGCAGAGTACGGTAGGACAATGTACACAATCCGTCAGAGAATTGGTCCGTTGCTTATGCAAATGGAGAAAAGAAATGGTTTGTTGAAAATTACTCTGTTTTGTGTTGTCTATTCTCTCTGCAATTGGGTTTGGTTATGTTCAATCATACTCTGTGTTGTGTCTTCTTCTCTTGCAGGTATAGTGGATGATTCTGGTGAGTTAACAGAGAAGGAAATAATAAGAGCTGAGCGGAACGCCGGATTCATTAGCAGTAGATTGAGGGAAATTCAGGTGAGCTCTTTTGAAAACTTGTTTTAAAATATTGTTTATGCGACACCAAAAGTGATAAATTTTGGTTTGTGTGAATGAGCTTTGGGGTTGGTTTGAAAACTGTAGATGCAAAACTATTTGAAGAAGAAAGAACAGAAAGCTCAACGGGAGAAGGATCTTCGTGAAGGGCTACAATTTTCCAAGTAAATCTTCAGTGAGTCCACAAAAGGTTTATAAAAACCGGAAAGTGAGCATTGACATGTGCGTGATTGATGTAGGAATGGTAAATATGAGGAAGCATTGGAGAGGTTTGAGTCAGTGTTAGGTTCTAAACCAACACCAGAAGAAGCATCAGTTGCAAGTTACAATGTTGCCTGTTGCTACTCAAAGCTTAATCAGGTATGCTTGTAAATTTTCAGATATTGCTGTTTGACTTGCAGAGTTCATAGAGTTCTTTTGATAGGTTCAAGCTGGCCTCTCGGCCTTGGAAGAAGCATTGAAGTCAGGATATGAAGATTTCAAGGTAAGTCCAAGGAGTTGCTATGTTTCAGTTGAGAGAGAGATAAACAGATGGTGTTGTTGTTTGTTGAAGCTGTGAAATTTGTTTTGTTTGCAGAGAATCAGAACAGATCCAGATCTGGAAAACCTCAGGAAGTCTAAGGATTTTGATCCACTTCTGAAGCAATTCGACGAATCTTTCATCAACGAGAGTGCCATTAACGCCATCAAATCATTGTTTGGCTTTAACAAGAAATAGTTCACCTAATGTTTATGTCTTTGGTGTGATCTGTTCATAGATTCTCTTCTCTTCTCTTCTTGGCTTATATATACTTGTGAGGAATTGTATTTTGATCGCAACGGTGTCCATTTTTACTTATGAAATCTTTAACTTTCAGCCAATTTATACTTGTTTCATATGAAAGTGACAGTAAAAACTTCAAAATCTTTGGAGTAAAAGTTTATATTTGACAATTTTGAGATATTTCTGAGCACTGAGGAATCATGATTTATTCATATGATGATTGATTCAAAATTTCAGTTTCACATTACAAATTCTCTTGTTCAAAATCATTACACTCGCAAGCTAAAGTAATCCGTTTCAATATTAGCCTATCTCCTCTCAGTATCCATATCCTGAAACAAAAGAGACAAACAGATTCAGCAATGAAACATGAATGCAGTGGATCTTTACTGAAGATTCAAGTATTTGAATGTCTGAACAAACCTGAGTTGTCCATTGGGTTACCGACGGGAACTGGTTCAGGTTCCTTGATCTCAACAACAACACAGTCCGACATCAAGAAAGTCTTTGCAACCGAAGCTGCGTGTTCCAAGCAACATCTCACAACCTAAAATCAAGATAAAGCCACTCAGGTTGATGGATCTTTGATGAATCAATGTAGCGAGCAAAGTGTACATGCAAAAAGCAACTAACCTTTGTTGGATCGATGATTCCTGCAGCCATTAAATCCTCGTACTTTCCGGTTGCAGCATTGTAACCGAATTTCACATTATCGTTGGAAAGCACCTGCCAATGAATAAAGACATCTTTCAAGCATCTGACTTAAAATCTAGAGGTGAAAAAGTGTGGAGGTATTATCTGTGGTTATTACCTTCTCGCTAACGACGCTTCCATTAACACCAGCATTCTTGGCGATCAGTTTTAGGGGATAACTCAGTGCTCTTTTAACTATATCAGCTCCAACCTGAAGTAAAGCACTCATCAGCAAAGTTAGAAACCCGAAGGTTCAGGAGTTAAAAACTGAATGCTTGATTGATTTACCTTTTCTTCATCATTGTCAAGAGTGGCTTTAATGGCATCGACCTTGGAAGCAAGACGAAGCAGAGTGCAACCACCACCAACAACAATACCTTCCTCGACAGCGGCCTGGAGAATTAAATTCCTGATTAATTATAGTTCACGAGTATGAAAATAACACACATCGAAAGCCTCAGGAAGACAAAATCACCTTTGTTGCATTAAGAGCATCTTCAACTCTCAACTTCTTCTCTTTGAGTTCTGTCTCAGTTTGTGCTCCAACCTTTAACCAAATACATAACGAGCTTAACTTAATATCTCTAGAACACATCTTAATCAGACAAAGGAAACCAGTGGGTTTGTAATTTACCTGAATCACAGCAACTCCACCAGAGAGCTTTGCAATTCTCTCATTCAGCTTTTCCTTCTCATAATCTTGCTCAGCTTGCTGCACAAACCAATTACCATTTTACTGTAACTACACTCTCCACAAACTGTAATAGCGATCCCATATTAACTCTACTTTGTTACTATACCTCAATAAGATTTTTAATCTGTGTAACACGCTTTTGCACTGCATCCTGTGTGCTTCCATCACCCACTATGGTAGAAGTCTCCTTGGTGAGGACGACCTTTGAGGCATTACCAAGAACTTCTTTTCCAGCTTTGTCAAGTGAAAGACCAACTTCCTCTCGGATCACAGTTGCTGCAAGCAAAGATAGAAAATTAGGATAAGATTAAAACTACAAAAATTTGCCTAAACATAGGGCTCATCAGTGCACACAGAACTTACCTCCAGTTAGAATGGCAATATCGTCAAGGTATTGGCTCTTGCGCTCTCCAAATCCTGGAGCTCTGAGAGCTGCAATCTTCAATGTACCTCTAAGCTTGTTTACAACAAGAGTTGCTAACGCTTCTTGTTCAATATCTTCAGCAATTATCAATATTGGGTATCCGCCTCTGATTGCATCCTCCAAAACACCAACAAGATCCCTTGCATTGGTAATTTTCTTGTCAACGAGAAGTAACTGCAATCATACAATACATTAGTTCCTTGTTATACTCTATCTTTAGTGGCTAAATTGTATGCCCATAAAATCCATCTTCTACTCAGATTCAAGAAATGCCTACCTTGCAATTGTCAAACTCAACTGACATTTTCTCGCTGTCTGTCACAAAGTAAGGGGAGATATAACCACGATCAAATTGCATTCCTTCTACGACGTAGAGGTTGTTCTCGGCACTTTTACCCTCCTCAAGGGTCACCACACCTTTCCTGCCCACTTTGCTCATTGCTTCAGCAATCATATTTCCAATTTCTTCGTTGTTACCTGCACTAACAGCTGCAACATCTGCAAGTTCACTGTCTTCAACCTACATCGACATGACTTACTTTCAGAACCTTTTGATAAAGACTCTTCACATAATACAAGAAAGAGAGTTCTATAAATTTGTAACCTCCTTAGACATTTTCTGGAGCTCGGTAACCAAAGCTTTTGCTGTCTTCTCAATACCCCTGGTGATCAAAACAGGGTTTGCACCAGCAGCCACCACCTGAATGATATAAGCTTAAAATTAGTAAAACAATTTTTAGAAGTTTCAGAAAAAGAAAGCTGAAAGAAAAACGTTACACAGACCTTGACACCCTCAGCAATAAAACCTTGTGCAAGAACAACAGAAGTTGTTGTACC